TTTTTTGGAGTTTGCTTGAAATACAATTTTTGCATAATATTGATTTTTCTTTCGCAAAAACCCCTTTTAAAAAATTTGAACCAAATGCCAACAGTTTGGAATGCCATGTGCCTTTGAGCTTTAGATCCTTAACCAGAGGTCTCGTGTCTGGGTATGGAAAAATCCTTGTTAGGGAGCGCTCCCCTCCCCTCCCCCCCTCCCCCCCTCCCGAATGGAGCCCTACGCAGCGCGAATCCGGATATAGTCGGGCTCTAATGCGGGTACCGGACACCAAATGAGAAACCAAAAAAAAAAAAATCGGAATAATATGGTTCACATGCTAATTATTAGGAGATTATAATGCTTGATCGTTTATCCGTTGAATGATAATGAAGCGATCGTTTATAAGATATACAATAATGTATGAATTGTTATACAATGCAATGAATGTTATGTAGGTATATTTTTTTGTCTTTAAAAAAGTTTATCTATGTATTATTGATGTACGTACTTTTATTCCACAATAAATTTCTCATAAATTAATAATAAGTATCTTTAATACTTCTAATTAAACGGTATATTAAGTATGCATGGATTATTTGTTTTTGTATAACCAGCCAAACGCTCTTAGTTATGGGCTTATGGCGATGATTATTATTCCTAATCTCTTCAATTAAATATTGTAAATACTGTTCCTAATTCCTCTTACCAAACGACCCTCAATTATTAATATTTCATTGCCTTTCTTACGATTCTCTATTTGATGTTGAAACTAAAAGAGAGAGATTTTTAAAAATTCAAAAGGAAATGAAAGTCATAACAACAAAACTACTTGGGATTAGATTAAGAGATTGAAAGTCAATATCAAATAATTGATGCACCAAATGAACAAGTACAGTCAGACCTCTCTATAACAACATCCTTATATAATAACACTTCACTATAAAAGTCAAGTTTTTTCGGAACCAACTGTCATGTTTAGTTATAATATATGTTCTCTATAATAACAATTCGCTATAATATCCAAAAATATCCGGAACAAACGAGGTTGTTATAGAGATGTTTGACTGTACTGTACTAGTAGTACCAGTATCAGGGGACAAAAAAATACACACTATATTTTTTTTCTTCATTATGCTCTGAAAATTATGCATAAATTACAAGCTATGAAATTCACAACCACAGAATTTTTTCTTATTAGCAAAAAAAAAAAAAAAAAAAGACTTTTTTCTTTTCCTCCCTTCAGCACCCCATCAAATACAAAAGTTCAGCTCTTGATCCTTCGATCAAATTTGAGCCTCACTCAAAAAAAAGATCAAATATACATCTTTTTGTTTTCATCAGAGAATATAGTGAATGTGACTCAAACAAATCCTACCCTAATCTATAAAAAAGAAAATTTCTCCTTACTAAAAATCAAAGAGAAGTCGAACGAAATTTCATAGTAGTTCAAAATAATCCTCATCTTGAACAAACTGGCTCTTCAGCAATAGTTTCCAACAATGGTTTCTTTGACCTACACATAGACAATCTATGCTTAAATTCTGGAGTTGAAAACTCTTCAATATCATCCAAATTCAACTTTGGCAAAACTTGTTGCTCATAATTTGCCTGAGGTTGTACTATTTCCAGAGCAGAATACTCTACACATGATTCAGGCAATATTCTGAAACTTCCAATTGACACCCTTTTGGACACAGAATTAGCAGTAAGTAACAAAGCTCCCATATCAGCAGCTGAGACAAATGAATTTACTCTTTTCATTGGAAACATAGCATAAACATTGCCCATATCAAGATCTTCATCAGCATTTAAGGCAGAAAATCTCCTTCCAATTTTAAGTGACCTTGTATTTACAAGAAAGAAATTAGGTGTCTCTAACATGACCTCTGCTGCTTTTATTGGTTGATAAAAATGTCTGATTTCACCACTTGGGAATATGACTTTTACACCTCTTGATTGTTTGTTGCCTCCTGGTCCTAATAAGGTACAAGAAATATAGTTGCCCATATCAGTAACACAAAATTGAATATAATTTTTGTGGGTTTAAGAGAATAGAGATGAGTTCTTGGATTTGATTGTTGAGGATTGGAATGAGGTAGTTATATATATATATAAATGAAGGGATAATGAGAATGCTGGTAGTGGGAAATTATAAGAAAAAGTCAAGAAAAGAAAAGGAGAGTAGAATATAGGATGAGTAGAGGACAGTTGTATAAAGTAAGGAAAATAAATAATGGGGAAGAATGAAAGTGGCGAAGGGTAGCCACATGACAGTTGACATCCGCGTTCAATTGAGTGGGGATGATATACATGTACCCGAAGTCGAAAGGAAAGTACGTTTATCTAGTTCCCTTTTTTTTTAATACTTAGGGGTCGTTTGGTAGGGTCTATAAAAATAGTGCGGAATACGGTGTATTATAACACAGGGATTAGAAATGCATGGGTTAGTAATGCAAGTAATAGTTATGCAGATATTATTTCTTATCTACTGTTTCGTGTAGTGTATTAAAAATTATAATGCATTCCATAATTTTTAAGAAAAATAATTGTTTACAAAAATGTCTTCTATATTCTCTAGCTTTAAAGGACTTTAAGGACAATTTTGTCTTTAACCATACTAATGCATGCATTAATAGCCTATTGGTATTACTAATGTCATGGTTTTCTATGCATTACTTATACATAGGATAATACCAAGCATGATGTATAACTAATACATGTTAAAAAATGTATCAAACAAGGTATTAGTAACGCACAGAGCTAATATTTTCATTATTTTTTCTAATACCTCCTATCAAACGAGCCCTTAGTACGTTTATCTAGTTGGTTTCTATGATTTGAGGGTATATCCAATTTCTGTATTTTTCTGTTAAATGCGTGTGGAGCCCATGTTTGATTTTCCTTTACGTATCATTATTACCAAATTCTGGTGTAACATACATTCATTTAAATTATTTTTCTCCAAAATAGTGAACGCTACTTTTACTTACTAAAGTGATGGAGGGCAGAAGAAAAGGCAGCATGGTCCATATGGTATTTTACCTAGGGTTCGAGAAAAGGTCGAACTCAAAGGGTATATTGTAAACAACCTAACTTAATACAAGTATTAGTGGCTGCTTCTATAAAAAATAATTTTACTGTTGCTCCAAGGTACTCCTTCACTAAACTTGATGGACGGAGGCAAAAAAATGTTTTAAAAAGGTGTCCTCTATGATGTGTACAAAAAGATTTTTGCCGCTTTCTATTAATATGGTGTATATCTTAGTAAAGAATAGTAAAACGTGAAAATTTTAACTGAAATGAGGTGCAGCCTATTGTCTTTTATTATATAATTCCTTGTTTTAATTTATATGAACATATTTCCTTTTGAGTCCGTGCCAAAAAGAATTATCACTTTCCTTATTTGGAAACAATTTATCTGTATGCAATGATTTATGTACCTCATTTTACATCACGAGTTCAAAAGTAATCTCTTTTTTCTTAATTAAACTCTATGCCCAGTCAAATGGGTTCACATAAATTGAAACAGAGGGAGTATTATAATTGTGCGATTTTCAAGAAATAAAACCCATTATACTTCCTAAATTCGAGCCATACATGGCCACTACCAGTCTACCACTAAGTTTGATAACAAACAATAATTGGAAGTGAATTTAAGGTGGGTAAAGGGAGCATTGTCTCCCAACCTCTATGAGGTTAGGAGAGTTGCTTAGAACTTAATATAACCTATAGAAGTTGAATAAAGCTAAATTTGTTGAACTTGGTGTGCTGTCCAAAATTCCAACTAAGTTGAATTATAAATATTCATCATGATAGTAAAATCAGCTGCCGGTGCAATTTAGGTGTGCAATGCTTAACTTTAAGTAAGTCTAAATATGAACAATTTTGTGAACTCGATCTAGCTTCCTCGTTCAGTAATCAGTTGAATTTGGTTTCAATTATACTGGTATTTGTTTATTCTTGGTATATATATATAATATGAAAAGCTGATTCCCAAGAAAGAGCAACTCGTGAATCGTGATAGGATAATAGCCGCGTCGCGAGGTCATATGCACAACTTTCCTTCAGTACTAACAAAGAACATTATTCTTTTATTCCCTGATTAAAAATAATGTTTTGGAAAATTATTAGTTTTCCGATAATCATTGGTTATGTACTAAATCATTGATTTTCCATCTTATTGTTGCCACTACGACTGAGTTCGTCGTTGTTGAGAAGCCATCTCATGTTCACATATCCTCAGCTCACCCTCCTATTTTGCTATACACCTCAGTCCATTGTAAGAATACTTTTGCCATATGAAATATATCAACTTGCTTTACCGTCATTAATTAACAGGGTATTTGGTCGTTTAATTTTCTTTAATGTTCGCCTTTGACTCTGTCTATATAAATTACTTAGTTCAACTTAAACCCGAATAAAAGAAAAAGATGATATACATAGGTAGCTAATGTAAGTCTAATTATCCACTTAAAATACGGATGATCATACAAGCGACATCATCTAATTTAGAACTAATACATATTTGATACATATAATCATGCTTAAGAGGAATTGTCAAATTGTTTCTAACTTTTCTTAGAGATTCTCATTGTTACGTTTTTTGACTGGATAATTCTTCACAAATCCAACTTATACTTTCTTGTCTTTTTCCTTCCACTTTTAAGATATGAGAGAACCAAAATAATGTACAGTGATGACTCCCATATACCATTCCAGCAATCCCAAATTCATTTTTAATCCACTCTCACCTATTGGCTATTGCCACCGTCAGATTCAAAGTTCTATTCCCACATCCTTAAAAAAAGGAAATTCCTCATTCGTAAAAGATTATATAAAATAAGTACAGGTATGGCTGAAAACTAGATCTCATCATTGTACAGCTGTTCCTTATTTATCTTCAACTAATCCATATAGTCAACAGAAGAAATTTTTGTTAATTCTTTCTTCTATCCAACTCCAAAGTTGTATATGTGTTAATTTTAATATATGTTGCAGGCCTGCAGGGTCAAAGGATTTAATACTAAAAGATAAGAAAAAGGAAGAATTCATAAACAATAACACAGTCAAAAAGATGAAAGTCAAGTAGGAAAACTCATAAACTTTTCACTGACTTATTAATACTACTAAGCAAATTTCTCTACTTAGGGCTTTTGCTTTTGTTACACGGCGGACAACCTGCTTTTCGTGATAATAAAGAGACTTCTTCTAGGATTTCTATGACAGTAGCAAATGATGGTCTCGTACAAGGAACTGTGTTGGTGCAGTCCTCTATTAACCTGAAGAGCATAACAATATGGTATCAATCAATGTAGCTACAAAAGTTCCTTGTCCAATATTTTTATCATCATCTAATTCTAAAAGCAAAAACATCGATGCATACCCTTATGAAGGGAGAAGGATGAAATCGAATAAGAGTTAAACTATTGTGCCTTCTGTATTCATGTGAATCTTAAATTGTTGAATATTTAAGCAGCAGCATAAACATAACTGACAGTAGAACACTTTCCACAATTCTCCACTAACTTCTATCAAATGATTCTGTTGTGAGGGTTCTTATGACACATTCTATCATCTCATAATGCAAACACTTTAATTTGTTGAACAATTTTCTAGTCAGCAGAATGCAGGTCTGGGGTTAATGGTAGTCTTTGTTAAGCCTACCGCTTAATGCATGTTCGAGTGAATAGTGAGTATTCTCAGTTTCTGACGTTATGGTCATATCAACATATGCTGAATCACTGAGTTACTAGCTATTGCCAGATTGTATACCACAAGAAGGGGTTGCTCAGATGGTCAGCACCCCCAACCTACAACCCCAGGGTCGTGGTTTCGAGTCACTAAAGGAGCAATAGCTCCAACAAAGGGGGATCAAAGGGGAACTAGAAGGGAAAAGAAATAGTACCACTAAGCTTCTTATCAAAATGGGCCTGGTGTCTTTCCCTTTTCAGTAAGGCGAGAGTGATACTGCAAATGCTAGTACATTAATGTGATTCATTACTATACATTAATTAGCTAATCGACATATTCTTATTTCGTATGAATAACTTGGAAACCGACTAACTAGCTAATGCACATTGTCTGTAAAAAAATATACATATGTACATTTATATAAAGAAAATTATAGAAGACAAATGTTTAGACCAAAAAGAATACTAGCTTGTATTAAAGAAAGAAAGATAGAGGCCAAGATTTAAACAGCTTAAGAAGCAGTGAAAAGAGAAGAAATGGAAAGCTCGGATGTTCTGGTGATGCAACCAGAACCACTTGTGTACACAGTTATCTCAGTGCAAGGAAATCCTTCAGGCATTAACACAGCAATCACTTGCAGACCAATCGCACTTAGTTCCTTTATATGGAAAAAACACATGTATTGGAGAAGTTAAAGAAAGTCTCACATCGAGTGCATTGACTTACTGAAGAATTCTGCTGGGGTATCGACCTGTATACAGCTTTTTCTCCAAATCAGAAATCCTGTCAGTTATTTGTTTTCCTTCCAGCATCTGCAGCACTTCCAGAGTTAGTATTGAATCTTAATGGAAACACATATGATAGCAGTCAATTCAAGTAATAAGAGTAAACAGAAAGATAACTTGCTGAATATTCGAGACATCAATTTTGATAAATGTAGGATAACAGAACTCCTTGAATCTACCTGATAAAAGATGAGACCAAATGAATAAATATCTTTGCTAATGTCATGAGACAAATGACTGATAAAGTTGCATCCGTTGTTTAATTGGCCTGGAAAAAAAAAGACATCTGATATAAATAACAGTACCGTGACAAAAAGTACATTTATAAACAAATAAGAGGAAACAAAAATGTCTTCATACAACAATCTTGATTTGCATATATCCGGTTATCCAATATTTGAACCCAATATTCGCCAATCTTCAAGTGCCCACCTTCATCTAGTAACAAGTTCCTGGGCCAAATTAAACAAAAGACTTCAGTGAAGGTGCCAGCTAATAACTCAAGAAAGACATATTCTACAAAGCTTAACTTAATTCTTTAGAACTTGCTTCATAACCTAAGTAAATTACTTAATTTTCATGTCAGCATAAATTAAAATGGTTCGAACGGCCTGATCTTGCTGAAATAATGTTACAAACAGAAGAACTCTGTAAAATCCACTGCAGAAAACTATAGACAGACACACTGAAAGAAAAGCATACATTCATGAAGTAATCATAAGAATTCAGCATAGAGAAAGATCTAAACTAGAAGTTAATGATATTCTCTGATTTTTTATGTTGGAACGCGGACTAAGTTGCAATTCCAATGTAGGCAAGATAAATAAAAAAGAACAGAAGTGAGTTGTCAATGAGGAATCAAAAAGGGAAGAGACATACTTCGGATGCAAGTTATTGTGAACTATAGGCAAAGGCTTGTGCCGATGGAGGTAATTCATTCCCCTGTCAGTCAACTTTAGCACTAAAATGACTTGTTCTTTCACATAATAAAACAAAACCAACTGAAATAGAAAAGAAATGAAATGTTCTACCTAGCAATGTCAAGCGCATAACGCAAAGCAGTTGGGGGGTCAAGGCGCTTTCTCAAAATATCTTGCAAATTCCCCTGACAAACAAGAAACAGAATAAGGAGTGTCTCATGTTTATTGGCATTGCTTAGCTCCTACAGCAAAAAACATCTGTACTGTTTCTGCCTATACCATTGATTGAAAAACCTAAGACACTTACTTTTGGCAAATACTCAGTGATCAAGATCATTTCATCTCCATGCACAATTGATCCAAGAAACTGTAGAATATTTGGATGTCGAAGTTCCCTCAGCAAAGTATTGACCTTTGCAGAGAACACCCTGCAGCAAGTATATTGAACTCAATATTATAGGAAGAATTATCCAGAAGGCCCTTTTTAAATTATTAAAGTAAAAGCAAAAGAATTGAATGCCTTTTGATTACTGTTTTGACCACCCATGTTCCACGCCATTTGACCTTTTCCGACTCCCCAAATAAACCCTGTGAAAGAAAAGAAGTCTAAGTTCCTTGAAAGTAACATGCTAAGTATACAGTTCTTATTGTCTATATGCTTGACACTAGTTTCACCAGAAGACCTATATATATTTTCTTGAGAAAGTTCCTCATAAGATATTTAACACCACGGCATTCCTAGCTTTGGATTTACATATTAGTACCTGCTCAATGATTGATGAGTGCTGCAAGTTCAGTTCAGATATGTCAATATTCACTTCAACTGAATCCTCTTCGCGCCGAACAGTCTGCATGTAAGAGAATTCAAACTTAAAATATCTCACTCAGATTGATTAGCAAAAACAACAAAGGAGTAAATGGAAAACATGACATGAAAAAAAGGGCAGCCCGGTGCACTAAGCTCTCGCTACGTGCGGGGTCCGGGGAAGGGCCTAACCACAAGGGTGAACCCGTGACCTCCTGGTCATATTGCAGCAACTTTACCAGTTACGCCAAGGCCCCCCTTCAAGATTTTTATTTACTGCACCAATCTGCTTGGCATTTTTTATGAGTGAAAAACGACCCTTGTATTCGGAACTAATTCCAAATTTATTCCCAGTATTGTTAGCCTATGTTCGTCTGATCTCAGGGAAATAAGATAGTTAATCCTTCTACTAGTGGAAATGACAGAACTCAAAATAAAACATTCTTATATTCTGCTACCTCAGCCGCCTTTCCAATATCCTAGCTCCCCCACCCCCCCACCCACCCACATTTAAGCCTGCAACTCCAATCCCACGCCTGCCAATCCTACTTGCAATAATAGTGTGATGTTCCAAGGTGTATAGAAGAATTGTATGGCCCTAGAAAGGGGTGAAGCAATTTGATTGGTTGCATTAATGCAACAGGTGAAAGCAAGCTAAATAGCAAAGCAATGACATAGGACGAGAATAAGTACAATGCGTATTTTGACACTAGAAAGTGCAATTCATGTATACCTTTATAATGGGAGATTCACAAGTTTATTTTTCTATAAATCGTCAAAAGCTGAGTGCCCTAAATGAGTGGTTCAAAGATTACTAAAGCAACCATGTCAAAGCCAGAGATTGTCACTATCGAAGTTCAACCTAACTTCACCTTTAAAAGCAGTCTGTCTAAAAACATTTGCAGCTGGAGCCACAGCTACTGCATCTCAAGTAAGTTCATAAGTGCAGAATTCTTAAGTTGGAAATTTGTTTGCTGTATGAAGTTATAGTCAATATCCCAGTTCTCAAGCAACTAGCATAAAAGGAGATGAATTTATAGAAGTCTTATTAGAAGGTGAGAACTTGATGCTCCCGCTGAGTAAATGAAAAGTAATTGGATCAGTCCCATATTGAAGGTTCATAAAACCAAATTTCAATACAAAACCATTCCAAAGACTCGCAAGCAAACTATCAGCTGAAGGCAGTCATGCTTTGAAAGCCAATATATAAAGATGAAATTTTTATGGACACCCATTTCACCAGCACAGCCACCACCAAAACCAAGAAAACTTAACAAAATTTAGAAGTTAGACAATCACGGCTTAAAATCACGTATGCATTTGCAACTTAAACCATGAAAAGCTTACCAAAGGATGATCACTGTTGGAATCCTTGCCACCATAGACCTCAAGGATCCTGCATATGTCGCGATGCCCATACAATTTCGCATCTGTCAAGGGCTTAACATAAAGAATTAAAAGAAAAATAATGATTGGTTAATCCCTCATTGTAGCAACTAAGATCATCTGCATTACATCTAGAGCAACACCTTTTCTATCACTAGTTCAGTAGAGCTAGTGAGTACCACATTAATTCCGCCTTGATGATGCTTCATATGATTATCCATTACTATAAAGACAACCGGTTTATTTAGGTAATTACAAGCAAATCCATATGATAACCTGCAATTGCTAAGGGTAGCCCGGTGCACTAAGCTCCCGCTACCACAAGGGTGTATTGTACGCAACCTTACCCTGCATTTCTGCAAAGGATGTTTTCACAACTCGAACCCGTGACCTCCTGGTCACATGGCAGCAACTTAACCAGTTACACCAAGGCTCCCCTTCATAACTGCTAATTGCTATTCTGATAAAAATGGTGACTATCTAGTATCACAGGTTAAACTGAACTTATAGTGTAAAAACCCATTATACAGTTCATATTAAACATATAAGTATGAATTTGGTTACTGTATCAAGAAAGGTGAGCAGAGAGAAGTTAATATTAGTATTGAGGTACTCACAGTGCGTCGCCACCTATCATTGAGATTAACATCAGCTTTGTAAGCCAAAAGAAGCTCAACAATGGAGGCGTGGCCTTCACTAGCAGCAAGATGGAGAGCAGTTCGTTTATCATAGTCCTGCACATTGGGAGAAATACCTTGCCTCAACATCTGGTTTAGGCCAACTCTATCCCCCCTTGACGCGAAACTCAAGAACGTCCCGATCAGCTGCATGTCTAAACGCCCAATATCTGATGAATCTTTATGGCGCATTACTAATGGACTCTCCATATCTCTCTACAATCTTTACTCTTAGACCAAATTAGGTTCAGAACATAAACAGAAAGATACTTTGTGCGCGCATGTGTGAGATAGAGACGTTTCTTGTTATGAAAAAGAGTGGCGATTTAGTCGAAGAAATGGATTTTGGGTTTTAACGAAGTTTGCTTAGTTCTTGTATATTCTTCGACCCCAGGCTTCGGTCCTGACTCCTGAATCCAAGATCCTTAGATTCACGTTCATTTTGGTGTTTTCAATTCGTCCACTTCATCTTAAAATTCAGAGGAATATATCTTTGTTGATTTGTACCTTGTTTCAATTAACAGCTTGTTTGGATGGTTGTTACCTGTTGTATTGTATCGTATTGTTACTTTAAATACAATGTTTGTTTTAATTGTTACTTAATTTTTATTGTATCGTATCGTTTATCGTTTAAATCTATCGTTACGTAACGACGAAAAGTGTCACTTTATGAAACGACCAATTTGGTGTGGTTGCGTCGATTTTTTTATTTTTTTTTCCCCTCTCATCTTGCCCTTTTTTATTAGTAAATTATCCTATTTTATCATTTATCCTACCTTTTTTGTATACTTGATAATATTACCTCGTACCTTATTTTTTCTTTATAATATTGCAAGTTTATTCATCGTATAGTTGGTGCATGACATCATGAAACGACGGATAGTACAATCTATCTAAACATTGTATACATCATAACGATATAGTACAATATAATACAGTACAATACTATACGATACATTATGAAACGATACATAACAACCATTCAAACAAGCTGTAAATGTCAATATTTGAGAATGGCAATAACGATTACTGAATGTGAATTCTCACTTTTTCACCTTCCATACAAGGAAATATAAAAAGGAGACACTGTTTAGCGTTTAAATGTCCCAATTAACTTTTTGATAATTGAATAATGAAAATATTAGAAGTGTTATAAATCGTATTTTATTTATGTGAATGTCTATAGAGAGATTTTAGAGTTTGTTAATTTGTGGCTAAGTCACTTTTCCCCAATAAATAAAGGGGTTTTATTCCATTGTAATTGATCCCAAATCAATAAGAATTCTCTCTTTTCTTGCCATACTCTTCTTCTTCTTTTATTGTTTTATAACACGTTATCAGCACGAGACTCTAACCAATTGAGTAGATGGCGGTTAATTTAATTTGTAGATATACTATTAATTAGTTGTCTAATGTTTGAGAAATTAAATCACACGTGGAGAGAAGTTACAGGAATTTGCATGATGCTCTTGTGTGAATGCATTGATATTCCTATATTAGGCATCTACTTTGGTCACCAGGCTTTGGGATACGTGCATGGTGCTCAACTTGTACATAATATTGAGCATACTTGCCAATTGTTCCATGAACTTCCTTCAGAATAAATTCTGGATTTAAGGTAAGTATTTTACTTTATTTTTCTCTTTTAAATTCTTAACATTCTATAATTAGATTTTATATACAAGCAAAGACAATAAATTTTGATTATAACTCTAATAGAGTTTGTAAGAAATTATTGTGACGACCCAAAGGGTCATCACCTGTATTCCTACTCCCTTTGTACTTCTGAGGCCGCGAAAAACCTCATGTGAGGTTGCCTCGAGTTTGTATGCGCAGTCCGGGCGCGAAGCCGGAACGTTTAAATATGAATTTGTGAGAAAAAAATAATAAATTTGATGTTTAAATTGATTGAGTTTTACTTTGGTCAACGTTTTTGGCAAACAGACCCGGACTCGTGATTCGACAGTCCCGGAGGGTCCGTAGGAAATTTTGGGACTTGGGTGTGTGCCCGGAATCAGATTCCGAGGTCCCAAGTCCGAGAAATGAATTATTGTGTGAAATTATTTTCTGAAAATAATTAAAGAATTTGAAAGTGTTATTTGTTTAGAAGACTGTGTTGTTGGGCTCGTTTTTGGGTTCCGACGCCCGGCACAAGTCTTAAATATGATTTAAGCAATTGCTGTAAAGTTTGGTTAGATTTGGACGTCGTTTGACGTGTTTTGGACTAAAAACTCTAAACTTGATGTCTTATGAAAATTGGAAGGAAATCATGGGTCTTGAGGCCTAATTTGATGATTACGATGTTGTCTTCGCGATTGGATCGCACGGATGAGTTCGTAGGATGTTATTGAGTTAGCGTGTATGCTTGGGTTGGAGCCCCGAGGGCTCGGGTGAGTTTTGAGTAGGTCCCGGGAGGCCTTAGGCTTAAAGTATCAGATATTGCAGTGTTGCAGGCCCCAGAGCGGCCGCGGTGCAGTCCGCGCGGTCCGCGTGGCCAGATTCAGAGGGGTCCTCAGCCTTGGTTTGACCAGCGGGGCCGCGCACCAAGTTCGTGCGGTCCGCGCTGGGAGATTCAGAGAAGGCCCCAGGTGCAAGACGCCAGCGCGGCCGCGCACCAAAATCGTGCGGTCCGTGCTGGGTAGGTTCAGAGAGTTGTTTTCCCTCCCTTCCTCGGCGCGGCCGCGGGGCATTTTTGTGCGGTCCGCGCCAGTCCTTCAGCAAAGTATATAAATTTGAGATTTTCAGTCATTTTACACTTTTTCAAATAACCCAAAACACAAGAGGCGATTTTCCAAATGATCCTTCTCCTTCAAAACGATTGGTAACTGATTTCTAACTTATTTTTCTTTGCTTCTTAACATCTTTAAACATAATTCCAACTTCAAAACAAAGGTTTTAATGGGGGAACTTGGGAACTTAGGGTTGAACTAGGGTTTCAAAATTTGGGGGTTTTGGACCTCAATTTGAGGTCCGATTCCAAAATAACATATATTTCTGAGTTCATGGGGGAATGGGTAATCGGGTTTTGGTTCGAACCTCGGGTTTTGACCACGTGGGCCCGGGGGGCATTTTGGGGATTTTTGGGTAAAACTTTGGAAAATTCATTCTTATGCCTTCAAATTGGTTTAACTAGCATTTGTTGATACATTTGAGTAATTTGTGACTAGATTCGAACGGTCTTGAGGTGAATTCGAAGGGTAAAGCTATACTAGAGGCTTGAGTTGAGTTTGGAGCTTTCGAGGTAAGTGTTTGGTTTAACCCTAGCTTGAAGGAATAGGAGTCGAGTCTTGTTTGCTAATTGCTAAATGATCGAGTACGGTGTATAGGCATGGTGACGAGTTCCTATACATTGGGCTCTAGCATGACCGTGAGTCCTTATATGTGAGTTGTTTGGATATTGTTATGCCTTCCATGTCATTGATGGCTTCTATACGTGGTAAACATATTGGGAATGATATTGTGATTGTAGAACTTCGTGGAGCATTGGCTCGGTCTGAAATACAAATGGTGAGAGCATGTGAAATGAGAAATGCCTTAGAGCTTGACATGAGTGCTAAGGAGAGTTAGGATATAAAAAAAATGAGAGAAAAAGAGAAATAACGATTTACTCTTGCATGGTTGTCATTGGTTGTTTGTGTACCCTTGTTGGGATTTCTTTCCAAATACTTGTTTACTCCCTTGCCCTTTATTTGTGACTGTTGCTTGGGCAAGGTTGAGAGGTATACATTACGGATCGGGTTGCACGCCGCAACAATGTTATATGTGAATCGGGTTGCACGCCGCAACAATGTTATATGTGGATCGGGTTGCACGCCACAACAATGTTATATGTGGATCGGGTTGCACGCCGCAACAGTTATAATTGTGGATCGGGTTGCACGCCGCAACAGTGATAATTGTGGATCGGGTTGCACGCCGCAACAGTTATTGATGCAAATGTGTTTGGTGTCGGTATTAGTTTCTTGTTCGTTTTAAATTGTAAGTTGCACCTAGATTGATTACTTCGGATTTACAGTAACTATTGTTACCTCCCCACAGCATGTTTCCCCCTCCCATATTTCTAGTTGTTTGGTATCTTGTTTCCGTTGTATATTTATAACTGCACAGGTTTGTGTGGTGTCCAGTCTAGCCTCGTCACTACTTCGCCGGGGTTAGGCTAGACACTTACCAGCACATGGGGTCGGTTGTGCTGATGCTACACTCTGTGCATTTTTGCACAGGTCCAGGTTTTGAGCAGCAGCAGCAGCAGCATTAGCACGGGGGCGCACCTTCAGTCCAGAGAGAGACCCGAGGTAGCTTGCAGGCGTCCGCAGGCCCGGCGTCTCCCTTCTATCTTTACATTTTGGCTGTCATCTCATTGTACCCGAGATAAACAGATTATGTTTCTTTCAGACTTTGTATGTAGAACTCTTTAGATGTTCGTGAGTATGTGACTCCAGTCCCGGGGTAGGGATATATGTGTGGAACTTCTGTATTATTGATCACCTATCTACATTTAAGTCTTCCGCTTATGACTTTAATTCCGTCGCCTTTATTTAATGCCATTAATTGTAAAAGGGAACAGGTGTTTAATGAATTTGTTAATTAAGTTGGCTTGCCTATCTCCGTTAGTAGGCGTCATCACGACTCCCGATGGTGGGAAATCCGGATCGTGACAAGTTGGTATCAGAGATCTAGGTTACATAGGTCTCACAACTCACGAACAAGCTTAGTAGAGTCTGAGGGATCGGTACGGAGACGTCTGTACTTATCCCCCAGAGGCTGCCAAGTTAGGAAAGATCTCCCCTTTGTTCTTTCTTGTCGTGCGGTTTGGTGTCTCAATGCTAATTGAACTTCTACTCTGTTTCCTCGCAGAATAGCGAGAACACGCGCTTCCTCATCTTCAGACCAGTAGTCCGAGCCCCAGGCAGCTCCCGCTAGGGGCAGAGGACGAGGCCGTGCTAGGGGCAGAGGACGAGGCCGTGCTAGAGGCCGAGGTAGGGGCAGAGCTCAGCCCCGAGCAGCAGCACCAGCGGCGGAGCCCCAGGTCGGTTTTGACGAGGAGGTTCCGGGTCGTGACAATTATAACCACCCGAAGTGGTAAAATTTCTGTATCTTGCCATGATCAAATTCATGTATGATTGTGAGCACAAGAAGTGAAAACTCGTCCTATTGAATTTGCTTCATTCTCGTTCCCTTAAGAGAATGTGGTAGCAGTATGTGATAAGTCTCAAAAAAAGACAAAACTATTACCGTGAAGGTATCAATGGATGTGGGCGTGGCAATAGACGAAATTATAATCGTCATCAATGTGGTAATGAGAACATTAAGGATTCTCAATATAATCCTTCACTCTGTGAAAGTAATGTTTGTCATCGATATGACATGAGATTTTGTTAAGCACATATAGATGAGTATGGTTCATTCATGATGTGAATGTGACAACATGTAATTTATGAATACATATTTATTCTTGGAATAATATGAACGTGCTATTGGAAGTGAGTGTGAG